AGACTCTGTAGCAAATTCCTGTTTATGCAGACAGTTTGGCTAAAAGGGTATTTTTGATTAACAAAGCTAAAGAGCTTGAACTGAGTATTGTTCTAACCAATAAAATCATTTGGTGACTCTGAGCCCCCCATTTCCTCATTTGATAAACTGAAATGAGAGTACAGCAGACTGCACAGGGCGTTTGTGAGAATCCCAAGTGGGGTCACATGTGCGAGAGCACCTTGTCAGAATGTTACGTTTATTATTGCCATTGCCGGGTTATACCTTTTCCAAGAATTAGAATATAATGAAGCACTTTTAAGCACTAAATTCTTTTAAAGTAACTTCATCTGTTTTCCATGATTCAGGAGATCCCTGAAGAAGTCACAGAATCTCAGGGTTATTGTCATGAGCATGGGGTGGTTCTGTAGGAAAAAGGTATGGGCTGCTTCTGGTCTTTGGTTTTTAAGTTTCAAATTAAGTGGGAGCATATTGACTGTATCAAACCCAGAAGGGAATAGAGATCATGCCCGCAAAGCCTCTCATTTTACAGATGAAATCACTGAGCCAGAGAAACTGAGGGGCCTGCCCAGAGTCACATGTTAATTAATGGCAAATCTGGGAGTAAAATCCAGGCTCCTAACTCCCAGCATGCTTTTTATTATTAGTTATGTTTAAACTCAAACAGTCTGAAATGACACTAAGAGGGTGCTGATGAACATGGACTCAAAGAAATATTAGAAGAAAGTTGAAGGGCCTGGTTATGTCACTGACAAGTATGGCACCAGGAACTTGACCCATTTGGGGGGAAAAGTACAGTGGAATTCTTAGTACTTTTCTTAATCATAGCTGTACAAAATTCATGTCAAGTAGTCTCTGAAATGAATTGGCATTAAAAATCCAGGTTTCGCGTGGCTCTCACAGGCCTGTTATATGCCCAGGGAGTGGCATGACATGGGTGCAGAACAGTGGTCACTGCCTTTTTCTTTTTACCAATGATCATGAAAAGCTATGTTTTTCAACTTCGTTGAATTAAAATTGCAAGAGATAACTGCCAGCCAGTTCACTGTTATATGTGCGTCCCTCCTCTTGCTCGTGTCGCGTCTGAGAGCCATATGAAGTCTCGGGACTGGTGCCTGTGGGCAGGGAGAGCCCCTGGGCAAGGACCCAGGGAGGCAGTGCTATGTCCTGGTTGTGTTCAAAGCAGGGTTCCACCTCCACCTTCTTCCTTCTCCCACCCGTAAATCTATTTCTTCAGATTTTTTTTTTGCTCTCTTTTTAGTCTGTTGATAATTTGAGAAAGCCCCCAAGGACCAATGTCTTGCGGGGGGTCGGGGGGGCGTTAATACACTCAGTCTTGTCTGAATTCCTAGTGATGTTGAAAACCCATCTGAATGTGGATGGGAAGTGCATGGGTAAGCATAGTGTAATGGGTATGAGCACAGACTCTGAGACCTGGGTTCGAATCTCAGCTCCTCTTGTTAATGTGACCATATGACCTTGGACAAATCTCTGAAATGCTCTGGGCCTGGTTCCCTAATCTGAAACACTGTCTCGTGGGGTTGCTGTGTGGGCATGCAGTTAAATGAACTAATATTTATAAAGTCCTGAGAACAGTGATAGAAGCTCTAAATAAATTGAGGAAGTAAAATGGTCCTGATTAGACCCGAGTCGCCTCTGGGTCCGAGGCTGTATTCCATTAGATGCGGTAACACCCAGGCTTTGGGGCCCTGGGTGTGAGTACAGGGGGCTTCGTTTTCCTCAGTTAAAATTGCAGAGCACATCCTACAGCCACAACCTTTTTCATTCCATTGAACTAAAAAGGCAACAGCAGGGAAACTTGACTTTGAACACCAAAGTTTGTCAAGTCTCTTTCCAGTCAGTGGATGTGTCTGCCGTCTCTCTATGCTAACGGCAGGGTGGTGGCTCTGATAAAGTTGAGTGGCCTCAAGCAGGTAGCCTGCTCTGGCAGGGTGACCTTTGTAAAACTGCTAGGATTGCCATAGCGGTCCCTGCACCAACGTAACTCACAGGGGTCCTTCTGCACACAAGCCCGGAGCGTAACTCACAGGGCCCTGCACACAAGGCGGAGCGTCCTCTCGGGTCCCTGGAGGGGGTTTCCGGCTCTGCTCGCAGCAGGGCTGGGCTGTGGGAGAGACGAATGGGAAGTGAGAAGAGAAACTGCCGTTCTTAACCGGCAGGGCTGTTTGGAGTGTGTGCCTCTTCTTGTATTTAGGGAAAAGATTACTCATGACTATTTTCTTCCGTAGAATATAAAGAATCTCAAATTACTACTTGTGTCCCCCACCCCCTTCTCACCCGCCTCCCTCCGTTTCCGTGTATCCTCTGCAGAAACTTCAGCATTTTACTCTCATTTCCCCTCCCAGGCGGGATTCAGTTCTGTATTTGCTTTGACATTTGTGCTTCCACCAAACTCCCCGGTACTTTTTCCTATTTCTGATCCAGCATCTTCTGCTCGGTGGCCTTCTCACCCAGGCACTTTCTTGGGCCAAGCTTGACTTGGAACCTCCCAGTTGTCCGCGCGGCTGGCTGTGCACACTCACCTTGTGTGATGGAGAGGAAGGACAAAGTCCCCAATGACAAACCATTGTGCTGTTCTTGTTCCAAGAGGCATGGCACCGCTGACAATAATAGGAAGTCAACTTGAAGGTTTTTTTACCAGTTCAAAAGTTGACGTTTTGCTAAGAGAGAGAGAGAAACATCGATGTGAGAGAGAAGCATCAAACGGGTGCCTCCTGCACGCCCCCCACTGAGCCCACAGCCCAGACACGTGCTCTGACCAGGAATCGAACTGGAACCTCTCAGTCCATGGGACAATGCTCACTTCTCTGAGCCACACTGGCTGGGTAGACTTTGAATTCTTTTATTTTTTTTTTTATCCTCACCCGAGGATATTTTTCCATTTTTTGTACAGATAGAGTGGGAGGGAGAGAGAGGAAGGGAGAGAGACAGAGAAACATCGACGTGAAGGGACACATCGAGTGGCTGCCACCCACATGACCGACCAGGGCCGGGGACAAACTGCAACCGAAGTATGTGCCCTTAGTGGGAACCGAACCCGGGTCTCTCCGGACCGCAGGCCGACGCTCTAACCGCTGAGCCAAACTGGCCAGGGCGGACTTTGAATTCTTTAGTGGCTGTTTTATTCTAAAGACTATAGAGCAGTGACATACTACACATTATTATTTTATAATGCTACTTTTTTTTTCCTATGTAAAAAAATTCTAAAACTTAAAAACAAAACAAACAAAAAAACCCCACCTAAATGCCCTTTTCTATTATTCGAATGCTTGTAGTTGTTTATTGATGCCTATACAATGGACCAGATTTGAAGGTACATAGTTCACAGAGTTCCACAGAGTTCAAGGAAGCCAGCTATCATTCTTCAAAACTAGACTTTACAAAGGAGCCACCTGGAAGACAGAGCCAAAGTCATGCCTACGGCCCTGGGCCTTCTCCAGGGGATCTGAGCCATTCATTCCCCGGAGATGATGAGTAGACCAGTTCTTTGTCTTGACTTATTTAGGGATGAAAGGCGATTATTTCCAGGATCAAACTGAAGGACACTTTTGTAGCACATCATGGAGTCTCCTTAGCAAGTTTAGGTAACGAACTAGAGAGACCGAGGCTCCTCTTACAAACACTGATTCCGTTGTATGTGAACTATTAATTCACACAATGCGATTTTGGAGAAGGAAGCGCTATTGAGCATCTAGCTGTTTCTAACCCATCCGTTCTCAAAGATTTTGATCTCTGGACCCCTTTCTAATCTTAAAAATCATCAAAGACCATAAAAAGCTTTGCTCCTATGGGTTTTAGCTATCTGTAGTTACCAGATTGGAGATTAACACTGAGAATTTTTAAAATATTTGTTAACTTACTGAAAAATAAGCCGAGCATATATCAGCATAAATATATATTTATAAGTATATTTTCTAAAACAAGAACATCAGTGAGAAGAGTGGCATTGGTTCCCGTTTTCTCTAGCCTCTCTGATGTCTGGCTTCACCGAGAATGGCTGGATTTTCATCTGGGCTGCGTACCACGTTTTGTAGCCTCTGAAAATTCTGCTGTGTACTCATGAAAGAATGAGTGGGAAAAGGCAAATAACCTTCTAATGTTGTTATGAAAAGAGTTTCGACTTCATAGACCCCTGAAAAGATTTGGGGAACCCTGAGGGGTCCCCAGATCACACTTTGAGAACCACTATTCTAAACCACTTGAATGATGTCAAAAATTTCTCACAACAGCAAAATAAAATAAAAAGGTAGACTCCCAGCCATGCTTCCAGAGAGATCTAGCCTGAGCTGCAGCCGCCCTTTGACCCACTTCTGGTCCTACTCGGAGTCCAGGTAGCACCCCCACCCCCCGAAGATCTAACATCAGCAAGTAGAATAAAAAGGCAGAGGACCTTTTCTCCTCACCTCTCCCTCTCCTCCCCAGAGGCAGGCCTGAGTTTCCCAGAGGCGGAGTGAATGGCTCTTCCTGGAAGAAGGTTCAGGGAACACTTCATTGTCTGGCAGCTGTGGAAGGTCAAGCCCCCCTCTGGAACATTCTCTCTTCAAAAGGACGCTGAGCTGCCATCAAAGCAGCTCTGATTTTAAGGTCCCCTTCGAAGTACGTTGACATGTGTCATGACTCGCAGCCCCCATGGATGTGTCAGGCTACCGCTGAGCTGCACCTTTAGGGCGAACCTGGAATCAGGACAGCCCCTGGAGCGGGGCAAGGAAGGGCAGGGCTCTAAGACCCCAGTGGTCCTTTAAAGACCTAAAAAAGGATATTTGCTCATTTTGCCTCTGCATAATAAAGCTCATTTGATATCACACTCTGGCGTTTATGAAGCGTGAGTTTTAACCCAAGATTCAGAGTTGAACACGAGGGCTCTCCAGACATGAAGATTCAATGTCGTTAACCATTCAGACATCTCTCCCCTTTATTCCAACTGTCCAACTGACAAGTTTCTCTCTCTCTCTCTCTCTGCCTTGCTCTCTCCCCAACAGGCTTGCAGCCAATTTATTGGAGCAGGGATGACGTAGCCCAGTGGCTCAAGTGGGCTGAAAATGAGTTTTCTTTAAGGCCAATTGACAGCAACACGTTTGAAATGAATGGCAAAGCTCTCCTGCTGCTGACCAAAGAGGACTTTCGCTATCGATCTCCTCATTCAGGTGAGAGTCTGGACTCTGGACACGTGCTCCGCTTAGCAGATCTGTTAGTCAGTGGTTGGTCTTTGCCACTGCTCATCCTGCCCCCAAAATCTCCGCTGTAAGTCACCCTGGGCACAAGGACAGCGACCCAGCTTAGTAGAGGAAAGATCCTGCTGACACGTGCCAGTTTGAGGGGAGAAGAGGAAGAGCTTTCAGATCAAGGGGAAACGTTTGGGGTTCAGAGAAGTAACCCAGTGGGGACCCGCAGTCACTGGGACTTTAGGGATCTAGTTGTTCCACCACAAGGGGAAGAAAATGCATCCCAGCCCCTTCTCTCTACCTTGCTCCTGAGTCTGAAGACTTAAAAGAGATGCTTGAGAATGAGTGCAGGTTGTGAACAGCTCAGTTAACAACAAATACAGGCGAGAAGGGGAGTGAGCCCTGCTGAGGTAGCTAGTCTAGAAAGTAAGGAAAAAATGAAGAAACAGGAGATAAGGACTGGGCAAGGTGGAGATCCCAGCAACCAAGGCAAGTTTAGAAATACACTCAAAGGGCCTCAGATGATGTCCTTTGGACGAACTAAGTTTTTGAAGTAATGCATGTTGTAGAAGTCCTGAACAATACGAATGGAAGTTTCCTAGTTAGGTCATCTAACCAGGAAGATTTGTCAAAATGAGGGCTCTTATGACCACAGAGGAAGATCTAGTTCAGTGAGGAGTGTCTGTCCCCACAAAGTATGTTAATGCTGCAGATAAGATTTCAAATATACTTCACAATTTCATATCTTAAATTTGATGGGTATTTAGGTCAAAGGGGATTTTTGGTCTTGGGTTTATGCCTCTTGAAGGGCTTGTTATTCAAGTACCAACAGGCCCCTCCTTCAATAGAGTCTCATTGATTTAACTTATCTGGCAGAGACCCTTTCGCCCTTGACCAAGGGCAAAGATCCTGCGTAAGGTCTTGGCATAGTCTCCAACTCCGTTCAACCCTTATGTGCTCCTGGAGGCCTGCCAGCAGTTAATACACTAACTGTCACGAGGAAATGTCCCCTGTCACAGGTTGAGATAAGGACGGAGAACAGGGTTTACTCTGCTTTTCCCAATTCAATGGGCCGTTTATATGAGGAAATGACAAAGGGGAAGTTTCCCTCAGAAGTGGAGATGTTATTGAAATTCAAAGGCTTATGTCTCTGAAATACAGCTTGTTTTTTTTTAAGGTTTTATAAGGGCCACAAACATACCTGAAATACTTTGTCCCAAATCATTGATTTTTGTGATTGATTTTTTAGTCGAAGAATGAGAAAACTATAAAACAACATATAAATAAAATGAATGTAAAAGGAACCTAGACAGTTCATTGAATGCAAAATCCTTTTCATTGAATACAAAAAATACTTCCTTTCTCTGTTCCAGTGGAAACTCAAAGGTATTATGCTCGATGAAACAAAGTTACCTATCTGGAGGGAAAGAACTCTAACTGCTTCATGTTCCAGAGAAACCATTTATGTAAGGCAAACAAAGGATGTGTTTTGACTTGATTTGGCTTAGAACTTGGATAAGCTTTCCTCCCTGAGCCTTTGCAAATTTCCCCCCATCGTATCTCAGGTGCTCCCTTTTGTTGCTGCTTTGTTTTTCTCTCCAGTGACCTCCCAGTTTTACTTATGAAACTAGGTTTTCACTGCTCAAAGCTCGAAGCAGACATATGCAAAGGCCTATCAGTAGTTCCTTGCTACATTGTCAGATCTTTGCTGGCATGGGCCATGTGAAGACTGGACAGGACCTGCTGTGTAGGTAGGTAGGCAGGACCGCGTTGAACCTAAAGGTAAAGGAAGCTGGAGAAGGGAGAGCGCAGAGCAGGACCGGTCTTCTGAAAGAATGGATGGAGTTGGTTCACAACATGGAGGGCGAGTGGAACTAAGTGGGTGGAGGGAAGAAGGACGACATTCTGGGTAATTGGAGAATCACTAGCATAGTGTATTTGACGGTGAGAAAACCCACCTAATGAGTGGAAAAGGCAGGAGCTGGGAAGGCTAGCCAAGGCCGATTCACTAGTCCAGACGTGAAGTGCTGTAGACCAGTCAGATGGGGGCAATAGAAATTTAGTCCATGAATGTTCCCCAAATAGCCCCATGCTGCTGGTGTGGGAGTACAAGCCAAGGGAGTTGAGGGTTAGGAGAGGTGATTTCTAGCTGGGTTGTCAGATGAAGCTCAAGGGTATGGTCATGGAGACGGACCCTGAAATGTGAGGAAAGGTGGAGGAGGAGTTGTGGGCCAGTTTGTGTGGAGAAGTTCAGGGATCAGGCAACATAAGCTGGATCCTCTGTTTGAATCGCTGTTCATCACCAGCCATCACCCCTCCCTCCCTCGCCTCGTTGCCTTTTCATATTTCAAATTCTGCTGCCTTCTCTAGGAAAGCTTCCCTGACTTCATCCTGGCTTCCCCGATTCCAACCTGCTTTGCTCTCCTCCCCCGCACCCCCTCAGTCTGCGTTAGGTGCTGTGCCTTTTCCATGCCAGAGCTTTCCCTGATTCTGTCATGGTGCCACTCACTCACTCACACACATGCTCACACACTCACACACATGCTCACACACTCACACACATGCTCACTCACACACACATGCTCACACACTCACACACTCACACACATGCTCACACACTCACACACATGCTCACATACTCACACACACAAACTCATACACTCACACACATACACTCATGCACTCATACACACACACACAAACACTCATTCACGCTCACACTCACACGAACTCATACACTCACACACAAAAATATGTTCATACACTCACACACTCACACAAACACTCATGCACTCATTCACACACACGCTCACACACACAAACTCATACACACACATACATTCACACATACACTCACACACAAACACACTCATTCACGCTCACACTCATACACAAACTCACACACACATACACTCATACACTCACACACACTCACACACTCATTCACACACGTGCACACACTCATACACACTCACGCATTCACACACTCACAGTGTGTTATAGACTGTTTGAAAGTTCAGTGTGGGCCGGGGTGTGTCCTGCTAAGCTGCCCGTCTCCAGTATCTAGCAGTGCATGGCATCCAGTTGGTACTCAGTAAATATGGTTGAATTATTACCCAACATGAGAAGACCTTAAAGGCCAGGTTAAGATGTTTGGGTTTTATCTTGTGGGTAATGGGAAACCACTGAAAGGTTTTGATCGGGAGAATGATAAGACTGGGCTCTTCCTTTGGAACAGATACTTGCCATCAGTGCACAGGATGGGTTCATTGAGCCCGAAAAGCAGGACAGCTAGTTAGAATGCTACTGCTCTAGTCTTCATGTGAGCCACTGAAATCCAGAACTGGATCAGTGAGACCACAGCACTAGTACTTCAGGCGCAGAGTAGCTGCTGATGGGGGCGGTCTGGAAGCAGTGGTGTGCTCGTCCTGGCCGAGCGACGCCAGGGCATCCAGGAGGACGTGCCGTGCTGCAGTTGGAAATGTGAGATAAGGGCCAGGCCAGAGCTGGGAATAATAGATATGAGCAGCATCCCATTACGTTGAGCTGGGAATAAAGATAAATTTATACTACAGCTAATTTAATAAAGTTATCAACCAGAAAGCCATGGACGGAATTTCAAAGTGATACCTGCCAGTAGGACCTACAGGAAAACTTACCACAAAAGAGAGGAGTAGTCCTGGCTGGTTTGGATCAGCAGTTTGAGCACTGGCTCTTGGACCAAAGAGTCTCGGATTCAATGCTGGTCATTGGCATGTACCTCGGTTGCAGTTCAGTCCCTGGCCCTGGTAGGGGTCGTGCGGGAGGCAACCAGTCAATGTATCTCTCTCACATTAATGTTTCTCTCTCTCTCACCCTCCCACTCTATCTGAAAATAAATGGAAAAATATCCTTGGGTGAGGATTAAAAAAAAGAGCCCTGGCCGGTTAGGCTCAGCGATTAGAGCATCAGACTGCGGTCCAGAGAGACCTGGGTTCAGTTTCCGCTAAGGGCATGTACCTCGGTTGCAGTTTGTCCCTGGCCCTGGTTGGTCGTGTGGTGGCAGCCACTCGATGTGTCCCTTTCACATCGATGTTTCCCTCTCTCTCTCTTCCTCTCTCTCCCTCCCTCTCTATCTGAACAAAAAATGGAAAAAAAATGTCCTCGGGTGAGGATGAAAAAAAAAAAAAGAAAAGAGAGGAGTATTGTCAGGTTTGGAAAACAGAACTAAGGAGCTAAGAAGGCCCTTGTCGTGAAGTGCCTCCAGCAGGGTCATGAAGGCGCGATATACCTGCTCCCGTTCTCTGTAGGTAGAGACAAGATATAGGTAAGAAATCGTTTTTGTCTCTGGTGTAACATCTGCCACAGCTTCTTCTGACATGGGCATTTTGTTTCTCACTCGGTGTCTTGGGCATCCTGAGGCCAGGTCCCACACGTGGCTCTAACACAGACCACATCGCTTCATTTGCCCTTATTCCTCTCACCCATAAAATGGAATTTTCACCCTGTGGCTCCTAAGCTCCCTTCAACTCCTATAGTTCGGTCCAGCTTCAGCCACAGAAAGTGTTAAGCTTCTAGTCGATAGTACGACTTCCCACTCTACAAGGCAGTGAGTGGATACTCTGGTCTCCAGCTTATGTACCTTGTAAAACTTGTACTTCGTTCAGTTTTGTCCTTTCTTTCCTTGAATCTCTTGTGCTACCTGAGAAGACTCAGCAGCAGGGTCTCACTGATCGTGGGGCTGCTGGACGGACCGGGGTATCTGGTAGCCCCATCACCATGAAAGGATGTTTATGGCTTCCTCCCGGGCGCGTTTCCTGCCTGACCTCACCCAGCATTATGTTCTCTGAATATGGGAGTCACTTCCCTTAACACAACTCTTGTCCAATGGAGAGAGGAGAGAGCAGAACTAAGTGAATTATAATTACCTGAAATATTAATATACCTTAGGTCCAAATATGGTAGTTTCTCTGAACTCTACATTCTGTAACCAGTTGAATAAA